CTTCAAAGTGCGTAATTTGAGACTTTGTTGTTTGCTGACACCCACAGAAACAGATAAAAGAAATTACAGTGTAATCAACTAGTAAACGATTTGTTGTTAGAATTTTATAATTATAACTAATATTTTCAAAATGTGATGTAGCAATTCCAGCTGGATCATCTAAACAAATTTAACCACTTTCCAAATCATCAAAAAGCAATAAGCCTGACATTTTTAATTAAATCTCTAATCGTGTAATCTGTTTGACGATATCTCTTCAAATAAATAAGTTAACTGTAATTTACTGTAAAAACACATCAAAATTTATCGTTTTAAAAAAGCGCATCTAAATTTTCGACTAAAAGACAATCCCTTTGACACCCTCAGTTACATGTATCAGGGGTAGAAAATGCTGCAGAATCTGACCGTGCAATCTGTTTGATGATATCTCCTCAAATAAATAAGTTAACTGTAATTTACTGTAAAAACACATCAAAATTTACAGTTTTAAAAAAGCGCATCAAAATTTCCGACTGAAAAACAATCCCCTTGACACCCTCGGTTACATGTAGCAGGGGTGGTAAATGCTGCAGAATCTAACAGTGCAATCTGTTTGACGATATCACCCCAAATAAATAATTCGCATTTTAATATGTATCGTATTTTGAAAAATCTCTGAACTGAAGCAAAAACTTACGGAAGGGCGAAATCATTTGACAGTAATATTTTGCTAAAGTTTGATTATTGTAGAATTACAGAAGGCAATCGGCAGTGAACTAATCATATGCGTTGAAAGAATTTTCGTATTTTCTAGTATCAAATTCTTAACAAAATTTATTACTCACCGTGCTCTGCTTCATTATGTTTTATAAACATTTTATTTCGAAGGCTTACTTGTAGCATTGTCGTTTGTAGGTCCAGTCCCAAAAGGCCCCTTTGTCATATGCAATCTTTTGCGAAAAAAGGAAGAGAGGAGAGCGGGGCGATGAGCAGGTAATATTTTGTTACCTGGAAAGGGGCACCACCCTCGTAAGACCGATTGTAGGTGCTAACATTATACTCTGGTGACTGAGGAAATCAGAGAATCAAATAAAATTTATTTTGATCGTTATACGTGATGAAAATCCATACTATCGACGATAAAATACATTTAAAGGATTTCAGAAGCCTTCTATTAACTTGTACTTCAATTTTTTGTTAATAATATTTTTAACTTCTGCCTTAGAAAGGTGAAAGATGTTCTTAAAAACATTTTCTCCATATACTTCTATTTCTTCCTGTCATGGATTCAGTTCTTACATTTTTCGAATACTTGAACATCCTAGATAGGCATCGTCATCATCTTCACAAAGTCGTCAGTCTTAGGATTGATCAGTCTTTTCTATGCTGAGCTAATGTTTGGTCCATCTTATTCCTGCATCTAATTAGACTTCGAACTACCCCTTCCAGTTCAAATTCCTATTTTAAATAGGTACATTTTAGTTGTTTTTTTAAAATTGGAAGCTAATCCCTATCATTTGGCTAACAGGTCAGTTGACACCATTTAAATAGCAGGAATGACAATAATCGAGGCATTGAGACCTAAATTCATATTCAATCATCAGAATCCAGTCTGAAGTGAAAGAATGTGGTGAATTGGCTGGCCGTCTTCACTCACAATCAGTCCGAAACTCTTTCCATACTTTTCATTGACTTCCATGACACCCGCATGGAGCCGTGCTACAAACGTACACTTTCAGTAATTTTTTCTTCTTCGTCTTCCAATTTAATTTTTGTAGAAAGCGACTCGATTCTGTGCTATTATTTGTTGTATATCTTTACCACAGTTTCCATCTTGAGTTATCTTCCTTTATTTAATAGTTCTATTCATGGTTTTATATTATATTCACTCCCCAATATACGAGGTGTATGTATAAGTTAGTGCCTTATTTCTTGAATAACACCGTTCAGAAAGGTAAAGAGTAACCGACAAATACGATTGAAGGGCGACAGATGTTTCTTTCGATTATTCCACCCTTGTCGTCGATTTATTTTTATAAAGAATGGTACGAAAATGTGAGCACGTGTTCATTTTTTCGAACACAACAACGTTATCGGGTGGATGAATGCAAGGGGAAGCGGTAAGAATAAAAAAAATTATGAACAAATTAAATTTGATAATGCACCAAAGAGCCTTTATTGGTCGACTTATAGAGATCCTGACGATACGACACGACGAACAACTTGATGATATTATCAAGGAGTCATGAAAGAAACGAAAAATTAAATTTAATGGACAAAGAAGGAGTTGCATTACAACGACAATATAATCGAACTTTTTGGGTTGGCTAAATTTTGTATTTGAGACCTAAATTAGCACTAAAAACCCTAAATTATCATTTGAATTCTTTAGCGATTTTTATTAGATTATTATTATTAGAAGAACTTTATAACAAGATTCACCAAATGACTAAAATTCAAAGTATATATACATATGTTAAATATAGAAATATAAACAGGAGACAATTTTGTACCTAAACACGTTGCCACTAAAACCTAGTTTGAGATTTTACCTTCCACAATTTCACGTGAATGCGGTCACGTACGCTACGATTTCAATGCCCACTTTCAAATAGATTGTAAGTATGTTCCATACATAAATGGGTAGGATTCGGAGGGGTAATCTATAAGATAAGGGAGGAACGAAAAGATCTGATTACAGAGGGGGAAGTGGAAAGCAAAACAAACAATCGAATAATTTAGAAACGGATAGATGTATTGTATGAGTCAGGACCTCTTGATGACTGATGACACCCATCAACCGTACTGTTCCAGAAAAAGGACAATTTACTACAGGCCTAAAGAAAAGGCAAAACTGCGTCTATTATTATCATTCATTTCGTAATAGTAAATGTCCTCCATTTTCTTTTTCTATTTGAAAATGGCGAAAACTGAGACCCATACGACTAACTCTTTTCATAGCTTTAACTACTGTAATCATCTTAGTCACGTCAGTCCAATGAGCGATTGGACACCCGTTTCTATCTTGTGTCAATTTTCGCATTTTCGAAAAATCACATTTCACACCCCTATTTGCGAACAATCCGATTGGAAATTTAACTGAAGTATGTATATAATTTGACCCTGATCAAGCAATTGGTTTGTAAATTGTAAACGCTTTTATAACATTTGGGAATGCTTTTAAAAGGTTACAATAGGCTATCTACATTACGATTTAATAAGGGAGGTCATTAACCCTAGAGTGGGCGCGCTATGAGCATTTTGCCGCCCGCGGTAAAAAACCGTTAATAATTTTTGAAAAAACTGCCCGTTACACTTACGCCTCTTAGTAGCTGCCCCCATTCTCGTTAGCAACGCGTACCGAAAGGCTGGACGCCATCAGTGCGCGGGGGACCGCTTGAAGAAAGGGTTGTTACCATCAGGTGTCGCCGGGCGGCAAATTGCTCATCGCGCGCCCACTCACGTAAGTAAAATTGTGTAATGTATTTTTGCAAAAAAATTTTGAGATTGTTTTTGTCAATGTTGAATATTGCCGGAATAAACAGTCAAATTATATACAAAGCCAATACTGAACATTTGATGCTACGTCGAGAATATTTGAAACAAATTGCCATGGTACTTGTCAAGCAATATATGACCACAAGGTTTTCTATAGACACTTTAAATATTCCTTCGAGGAACCAAATTGCTCGCTTTGTTCCAGTAGAACAAGCACCTGCTTCGTAAAAGGAGGGCAAATTCAGCATATATCCCTCAAAGAAAAACAGGCGCACGAAAAAAGGGTGTTCCAGATGCCTAAAGTTACTGTGCAATGAACATTGTACATATCTTTGTGAAGGTTGTCTTGATAAAGCGAATCCTGTAGACTTAGAAAATATATAATTTTGTTTTTTTTCCCCATTTTTAAAGTATTAGAGTATTATTTAGAATAAGAGAAAAAAAGTCAATTAAAATAATAAGTTTCCTAAAGCCTTATAAACCAAAGTTTTTAGATCGGAGTTGAATAAATAATTTGATTTATTATTACTTATTAGTATATTATTTAAATCCTGAAAGAAAAAATGATTAAATTGCTGTATTACTAGTTAAAATGGTCAAAGAAAAGGGGGCGGCAAAATACTTCCTACGCGCCTACTAGCGTTTCGCAAAAAGACGCGCCCACTCTAGGGTTAAAGGATTGAAATAGGATATCCCAATAGTATCACATCATGACATGTATGAATAATATGTCGTAAAAGGGTTCAAGGTCCGACATGAATGCTGATAGGGCCTGCCATACATTTCTAGTCGGAGGTAATTTAATTCATGTATTCCTCTACCTCTCTCTACTCCTGTTTCGTATTCTATACCTATTCCAGATTATGCCAAAACACACCGATGGCCACCAAAAGAACATTTTCCATTAATTAGGTCACATTTAAAGAATACTTTAAGATCTATGCACTAGCAAATTGGTAAAATGTTTAAATAAAACAAAAATACAAGTTTATTTTTTTTAGTACAAACATCAACGTTATACTTAGAAAATCTAACAAAAATAAATTAAAATAATAATAAATTTACAGCCAATTTTTATTTTTGTATTACTATGAATAAAACTATTGGACAACTTTTTTGGGGTATCTTAATTTTTCAATTATTTCGCAAATGCGCAAGGGTCCAAGTGCAATGTACCTCTCTTATAGATAAATACCCTGTATATCAAAGAATATTCAAGCATTTAGAGTTAATATTTTTAAAAGAAGGATGTTTTTGAATAAATGACAAAATTCTGCGATTGATTTAAAATTAACAGCAATATTTACCATTAAAAATTTTAAAAAATGTTTCATTCAATGGCTCTGTACTTTTGAGAACGACCTAATAGGTCCCAAACAATTGTCGAGTATGGCTACTTTATTAGATTATTGTTAAGTACTTGAAACCATATGAAATTCTTTAAATTACTTTTAAAAGAGAAGTCAGAGTATTTTCGACAAGTTTTTGGATTGCTTTTAAGAATTTATTTCAAGAACACTCACCTATGACCGACGTTCAGACACTCTCGCAAACTCAGTCGGTGGAACCCTGTAAAAAACGAGCAATATTAGCAATAATCATGCAACTTCGACTGCACAAATCTGTACATAGCATAAACATAGTCATGCAACATTCTTCTTGCAGTTGCAATCAATGTATAAAAGTATACAAATTAGTAGGTAGATACCTACGTAAATACGTCGAAACCGCCTTTCACATAATTTGGAGAAATATTTATGTTAGTAATCCATTCACATTCCTAAATAATATTTTCTAGGGAATTCATTTGTTCTAGATTATTACTGAAAGAAAATAATTCATAAAATCTACACTCTTCGAACGTTATAGGTACGATAATTAGGTGTAAACTTTAAATTACTTGTCTAACTTATAAATGCCTTTGTAAATTATAAGGTATTAATAGATTAATGGAATTTCTAAATTAATAATTTCACGACATCCGAGAAAGTTCTTTAACTGCGATTAATAACATTAATGAAATTGGAATTTTTGATCGGAAATTTGTTAGGATGAGTAGTAGTACCTAATCGATGTTAGGCTGGTATAATATTGCAAATGATGGAGTAGCCGCGAAATTTCTGTGTAAAATGTTAAAATTAAAACTAAGTCAATAATGCAGTTGCATCTGCTGCAAATGCAACGAAAATCGACGCCAAAACGCAGCGTATTCGCGTGACACACATTCGCTTAAATCAATATCATTCGCGATATTATTGTGCAAGAATTCACAAGAGGGCGACAGGAGAAGTCATTCCCTTCAAATAATCACCTTGCAGTCATGCTGTTCTCATCGAAATTACAAATATTTAAACCAATTTATAATCTCAATAATCAAAGTTAATAGGTACATGCCCCTTCAGATAGAAAATTTGGTAAATGTCTAGATCATGGCCCCAACCCCCGAAGGGGGTGGGGATGGGTGGGATCGAAAGAGGAGGTCTCCCCCACCACTGTACCATAAAAAGTTCGTGGCGGTCTCACCCTCATAAAAAGTTATGGGGGTTAGATGGGGATGGGGATAGGGGGGATCGAAAGAGGGTGGTCACCTGAGTAAAACCCCATAAAAAATTTGCAGTGGTCTCACCCCCATAAAAAGTTATAGGGGTTAAAAGTTGATTATTTTGACAATTTTCATACACTATAATTCAAATAAAATTCAATTAAAAACATATTTTCAAGCGGGAGGAGGTGGGGGATCGAAAGAGGGTGGTCACTTGAACAAAACCCGATAACCTAACCTAACCTACCCTATTGATAAAGATATTTAAATAATGTTTTACATAACTTTCTCAATATTTTTATGTATTTTTCCATTAGTTTTATCTTTGAATATTGTTTAAGAATGACTATATAAATATTTACATGCCTAGAAATATATGAAAATTGGCATATTTATTAACTTTGAACCCCTATAACTTTTTATGGGGGTGAGACCGCCACGAACTTTTTATGGTACAGTGGTGGGGGAGACCTCCTCTTTCGATCCCCCCAACCCTACCCAGAAGGGGGTGGGGGCCATCATCTAGAACTTTACCGAAAATTTTGTTATGATCATCAGTAGAGATAGAAACAGTATTGTCCAAAACTAATACTTAGTGTATGCTAAAGCAATTTAATCCGTTCTTTTTTTTTATATATAAGTACATAGTTGTAAAATGGTTTTAGCAAAATAAAAAACAAGCTCCGTTTAAAAGAATTCTTTGCGTATATAACGGGCACACCATCGTAAAAATATTTACTCCGCCGAAGACCGTGAAGGTTCACCTCGTAATAATTGAATACGGATTCTAGGAATAGAAAATGTAAGCATAGATTAAGAGTAAGTCATTTAAGTACCATACGAGGTTCGGTTAAAAAAAATTTCAACAGATCTAATATCAATAATTTGCTACCGTTTAAAACATTTTACCTTCGAACTAATATGGTTCGATTTCGAGCAGTAGAGTGAAATAAAATTTTTTAATAAATTTTAATGTAATGTGCCAACTGGTTAACAAATCTAAAAATTTGTCGCTTCAGCTGGTTAGTTACTAGAAAATAGCACATTACTAGTTACATATCTCATAACTATAACGACAAATTAGCTGCAAAATGTAATAGTTTGTAGTAAATGTGTCGCTGCAGTTCTGAGATAGAAAAGCTAAGTGTACTGATACTACAAAGAACTACAATTTGTAGCTAATTTGTCGCTGAAAGGGTTGTAACTTTTACCCATCTTGTAGCCAGCCTCGGACTGATCAGCGAAAAAGGATTAAATACCGTATTCCAAAATAGAAATATCGTAGAAAAATACTATAATTTGTCGCGAATTTGTCAGTGTTTTTCTAGTATATTTCTATTACAGATACGCTATATTTTTCGCTGGGTAATGAAACTATCTTTCAGCAACAAAATAATTACTAATTATTATAGCTCTTACAGTATTTTTCTACGTCATTTTTTTTTTCGAGATGAACTACATGTAGTAGGTATATATACCATCTTTACAGTTCTCCAGTCTTTTATCACTAGGCAGCTAGAGGATAGACTAGCGACATAATAGGTAAAACTACCATCTTTCAACGACAAATTACGGCCCTTACAGCATTTCAAAAGAAAATGTTAGAAGCGTTCGAAATGTAGTGTTACAGGCGAATGATGAGTATACCGTGGATAGAGAAGGTTAGAAATGAAGAGGTATTAGAAAGAGTAAGAGAACAGAGGACTCTATGGAAGTCAATAAGAAATAGGCGAGATAGGTTGGTAGGACACCTTCTCAGGCATGAAGGTCTAGTCAGAAACATATTAGAGGCAGAAACGGAAGTTAGGAGGGGTAGAGGTAGACCTAGATTAGATTACTGCTCGCAAATAGTTAAAGATATGGGCTGCTCTAGCTTGAGGGAAATGCGAAAATTAGCGCAGGATAGGAAAGAGTGGAAGTGTGTGTCCAACCAGTCTTAGGACTAACGACCTTATGATGATGATGACAGTATTTATCTTCAGCTTCATAAGAGGCTAGCATTTCCTCGATTTTCCACTAACTGGCTGGATCGACGAATTTTTGCATTTGGTAACAAAGTAGCAGGCCGCCCATCACCATTAATAACTAGTGGGAATGAAAAACCCGAAGTTTCTTAGTTTTGATTAAGGGTACTGGATAACATACAAAGAAAATAAAGTCCCAGTCTTGCACCCCAAATTGTTTTGATATTCTTTTCTTATCAAATTCATAAATAGTACCTACAGTCTCGCAATGTTTTCCGAATCTTTCCCATAGAAGAGTTTTATGACACTTAACACTGTGCTTTTTAATGAATCCATAACTGTTTATTGGCATTCCTTTTATACAAAAGCCTAGTATTTTACGTGTCTCTTCAAGTAGGACTCTACATTCCACAATGAACTATGAAAGCATTTAACGGTGTGAGATGCGAGTCGAACGACAGAACAGACGTTGAAAGTGGACAGAGTGTAAAGAAGAATGTATAATGATGTTGGAATTATTATATGTAAACAAACATATGCTCAGTACTATCTGCGATTATCGGAACCATTTCGAATTAATGCATTCTCCGAAAATAAAATCATGAATGAATCATGGTTTTGTTGACTTATCGCTGATCGTTCATACATCGGAAAAAAACATGTAATAACGGTTTCGTCATTAATTTATTGCTTGTCGGTTTCGATAGTAAAATACATAATCAAAAAGTTGCAAGAGCACAGCATTTGAAAGTGGCTGTTTAACTAATATTTGTGAAAAATACCTTCACGACTACACATAAAAATGCTACCACAAGTGTTAATAACCATATACCTATCTAATGTTAAGTGAAATTTTCTGTAGTGGCAGCAAAGAAATAGAATTATTGTTGATGTATTTTCGGCGACACAAATAGAGACACAAGTCGCACTCTGCACCCTGGATTTGTTCCAAAACATTTTCGCTTCATTTTCAAGAAAAACAAGAAATACTTAATAGCTAGAGGAAACATAAAAATTAAGTAACTTATGTTCTTTATTATGTTTACTTAATATTAAGACCAAAATTAGCATAGGACATTAGTAAAAGTGGCAAAAATAAACTACTCCTCCTGTATCCTAGTCGGAAGCCTCACCTCAAACAAGGATCTCCTCATTGCTTTAGAGCATTTGGGCGAAGTCAGGAGGGCAGACATGATCCGGAAGGGGTTACCTATGTCAGTCCGATTAAACATTTGGGCCTAATCAGGCAACCAGACAGGGTATCCACATTAGGATATTAATAGGGCAGATTTTTTTGTTTACATTTCATACAACGGTTCCCTAAACCGCACTTATTAATATATGAACATTTACACACCACCTATTTGGTCAATTGCACAAGTGCGTAAGTAATTTCTAATTTATTTAATAATGAAAGCTATAAAAGGCCATGTGAATGCCGACGAAAGACGTCACTGATTGATTAATAGATTTATTTTTTCCAGTCGGCCAAGTCCCGTGATGGTAAAGGTCAAGCTCAATAAAACGGGTCACAATAGGATACAAAGCGACATAAATAACAACCGCTTATTCGAAAGTCTATTTAAATAACAGCAACTATTAATACAGTATAATTTTTTTTTTCTGTTAAAACGTTAAGTTGCTGGAAAATTGTTTAAATCCACTCATCATCATAACGTCGTCAGTCCTAAGACTGGTTGGACACGCACCTCCACACTTTCCTATCCTGCGCTAATCTTTGCATTTCCTTAAAACTGGAACAACCCATATCCTTAACTATTTGTGAACAGTAATCTCATCTAGGTCTACCTCTACCCCTCCTAACTTCCGTTTCTGCCTCTAATATATCTTTGACTGATGTCTGAGAAGGTGTCCTACTAACCTATCTTCCCTATTTCTTATAGACTTCCATAGAGCCCTCTGTTTTCCTACTCTTTCTAATGCCTCTTCATTTCTAACCTTCTCTATCCACGGTATCCTCATCATTCACCTATAACACCACATTTCGAACGCGTCTAACCTTTTCTTTTCCGCCGCGCCCACTGTCCATGTTTCCCATCCAT